AAGCAGTGGTATCAACGCAGAGTACTGGATTGTAGAACTCCACGATCCTCGTAGCTATAGCATTTTGACAGTAAGACTAACTCTGATTACACAAAGTCTTCGATGTAATAGGTGCCTCTGTTGCACCTGCTTCTCTACGCAAATGTTACGATCTCTTTTGGAGTTTAGAAATAATATTCAAAGTTAGAACAATGACTCTTTGAGGAATCATTCAATGACTTTCACGGATTCCGCCATCTGCTTAGAAAATTTATACCTCTTAAAATGATTGCAATTTAACTGCGCACTGATCATCAAACTTCATTTATTATTTCACTTATTACTTCAGCAAATACGTGAGTAATAACTTCATTGACGTATATACACAAAGGCTTCACACGTAAATTTTTCTCCAGGATTTTTCATCGTTCTCTAGATGTGAACAATAGGCGGCAAATTTCCGATGTACTTCTCAGTGAGCCTGCAAGTAAGTTTTGACAATCATAGTAACAATATTCAGAATCAACATGTCACTAAATTTGATTTTAATGATGCCGATAGTTACAATTTTGCTTAAAATGTTGATTTCTTAGTCTCACTTATTCCAGTTTTTCTTCTTCGAATTTCAACGGATAAAACCCAATATTCGACTTTAACCCGGTTTGGCTACAATTTCACTTGATGCATATGAATGAAAAGAACATGAGAAGCAATGATGACGAACATTGCCCCCCCCCCCCCCCCCCGGTCGACGCACCTCCACAGCCGCGGCCGCTCCCCCCCTCCCCCCCCCCCAACGGCCCTCAAACCCCCTTCACCCTGGAGAGGCGGGACCCCTATGACCCCCTTCACCCTGGAGAGGCCATGTTCCCCCTTTGCACACGTATGACTAGCAGCAGCAATCACAACAGAAGGTACTCCAGCTCGAACTCCGTAACCTATACATTTCTATAAGAACAGGAGAAGAAGGTTAGAATATAACATACCTGCCTTGCCGGCATCCAAAAGAGCAGGGATAACTACAGCAGGTGACACAGCTCCCAAACAGCGCTGCAATCAGAGTAAAGATTTCTTGTGATAGAGGAAACACACGACTTCGATAGAACTAACATAACAAAAAAATATGGCGAACGAATAAAAAACCTAAATTCTACGTATTTTCACGACAAAAGTAGTCGCCGAAAATACTACAGATGGGGCATTCCAAAGATTTTACGATTAAGGTGTGTTCTAGCAGGGTGTGAGCAAGAACCGCTCCACTTCAGTGAGGGACTTACCCTAAAGCTACACCGAAGAGTATGTCCATCCCAAAAACCATCTTTGCAATAAATGAAACTGTACGGTTCATCGCAAACATGCACCCTAAAAAACAAGCTACTTTCGAGTAAAGCTGGACCAGTCAAGCTGGACCCACCTTGCTGTGAACAGTACTGCTCCACTTTGTAAAACTCAGAATTTTTTTTCAGTTTCTAGTCTAGCATAGAATCACTGTGCAAGCAATCCGACGTGAAACCATGCTCCATTCGTTTATTACGTACACGTTAATGAGGGACTCACAGAAGTTCCTGAGAATGATGCCTGTGAGCAGCATGGCTAAAGGAATCCAAATAAAGAAGCAAAGGATGGGGTTCAAAAAGCGTACCTAATAAGCTAGGAAGATCTAAAAGTTGTGCTACATAACCCGTCACAACACCTGTAGCGATGGTAAGCTTCAGTGTATAGATAGTGCTTGCATAATCTTTTGGTGTAAGCATATAAGTTTTTTCGAAAGAGACGTCATAATTCCGTTCATGAATAGGTGCTAGGACAACATTACATGCTGTGGCGGCAAATCCAAGAAAAATGAGGTATGACAGAAATCTGACAGAAAAATGATTTCATCGTTGAATATTAAGATATTCGAACACTCGTGATCTTTCACTCCTACGCATAATCCCAATTAAAATTGTAACCAAACGAGGTTCAGCTGCACATAATACAGTCGAAAGAAAGCCTCGAAGTTTACAACCTCTAAAAAAAGTCTGCTCGATGAACGATAGCTCTTACCTCTGGGGTGTAAATGCGATCCCATAAAGACTGCGGTGTAGGGGAACTCTCCTCAGATTTGGGAGATAGGGCTTCATCCTGCTTGCTCATAGCAGAGTGATCGATGTGCCTGAAAAATAAGTTTAGGAGGGTTTGGTTGTGGATGCAGAGATAGAGTTCGAGGGCTGAAAAGAAACATTGACGAAAAACCTTTGTTACTATTCTCAAAGTTGAGGGACTGCGGAGCAGCTTAGAACCAAAGATAAGTCGAAGTGGCGGATAGAAGAAGTTAACTATAGTTAACTTGTATACAGGATTACAACTTATCAAAGGACTCAGCGATACGCCGTTCGATTGGAGCGCGCTTTCCTCCTTAGGAAACGCGGCTTTTGAGGCTATTTTTGCCTCTAGCAATGAGGAGAGGGGGAGGTTTGAAACCAAATTTTCACTATGTACTAATCCTTAGGTGTAGAGTAGGTTTATGTAAATATTTTGGAAAAATTATGTGAATTGAGAGTTTTGCCAAGCTCAGCTTGTCATTAGCTTGTCAAATGACAAGCTAATTTGGAAATTAGTTGGTGAAACTTTTCATTCACATAAGTTTTTCATAATATTTCATACTTAGTTACTTAGTCCTACTGCGCATACACACACCAAATCCCGCGCGATTTCGTCACCTCTGCGTTGCAAACGAGCCATTTTTTCGTTTCTTTGGTAGCGGGAAATTTTCAGAAAAAAGTTTGCCACAACCTTCAGTCACATAATTTTTCAATGTGTCAGGATAAAAGGTCTGCAGGTCCTTTACCTGATGTGTAGCGGGGTTACATGAGCCTTACTATAATGTTTATTATACAAGTTATATACAAAAGGAGAAGGGGAAAGGGGAAAGAGGGAACCGGCTCCTGCCGACGGGCGGAGGTCACTGTCCGAGGTTCGTTGTCTTAGGCCAACCTCCATCGCTAGCAGCTGTTGGGTCATAGCTGCATCCCGACATCTCCATTCCTTCAGAAAGCTCGTCCTCGAGCTTGTTCAGCTGTTGTTGAACGTCTTCCGAGTTGCGTGCGTAAGGAGTACACGTGTTACGGCGAGACCATAGAGAACTTCGATTTCGGTACATTATCTTCAGACGGACTGAGTGGAGGAGTTGGTTTAGGCGGATTGGATAACCAAACATCGACCTTCACCTCATCCTAGGGGTACAGAGTGAGCTTGTCCTCAAGCGGAGAGATATACGGAATGAACGATGTGACGTAGGGGACTGCTTGGGAGAGGCAGTAACATGTAGTTGTAGGAAGTGAACAGGCGTATTATAGCAGGAAATTGACGAATGGAAAAATTAGCGTGGAGATATGGGAGTATAATGTGACCGGTACTGAATGTTGATATGAGGAAATTATGGTTTGGAGGGGAACTTGTTGAGAACATGTTAATGAAAATACGTGGTGAGCAGATGTTACATAGTTAACAAAGTGTTAGGCGATATTGGATTACATTAGTGATTCTGAAGTTATATTTTACAAAAAATAGTCAAGCTACATGTGGAATTTTAGGAAGTGTAATATATTAAGGTATTGCATAATTTGAACCGAGTGACATATGGTTATACAGCATATAAATAATGCAATCGCTTGGAAAACGGAGAGGAAGATTTAGATGCAGAATTGAGCACAACAAACTGTGTTTAATTCAACATAGTGGCAGATTTTGAGTGTTAGAGAAATAGGATTTTTTTTCGCTGCCTAGCACAAAATATTTTTTTCCATTCTTTGAACTGCCGGTTCAAAGAAATTTATTTATAGATAATCGCAGCGGTGCGGCAAAATAGGTGTAAACAAACTCACGTTAAGAAATATCTCGACAGCAGAAAAAAATAAAACTCTGATAGTTGGATTTTTTCCAAACTGAGTTGCATTTAAAAATTGTCTTGCAGTCTTGCGACCAAATTCAAGACTACATTCATGAACAAAACAAACACGATGTCGTTCATGTTCTGATGTTTCCTTTTTTTTGAATTTTTTTTTTGAAAAAAGTGCGTTTTTGGAAGCATTAGCCCATTTTCGACATAGACAACATGAAAATGCAAACCAAATTATACAAAATGAATTACAGTACATTTTGGCACAGCAAATTATACGAATAGAACGCTTCCACTGCAGAAACTACGATATGTAGCTTTTGAGTTATAAGTATAAGAACTTCAGCGGAAATGATCCTAACACCATGGTGGCAATTCACGACTAATTTGCAATCTATGAAAGCTATCTATGTATCTTCAACGTCCACATCCAATATAGAAAATTCTATGGAATGATTGTCCTGAATTCTGCTGAAATCTGTAAAGGAATCATTACCATTGTTTTCTAGTGAAAAAAAACGAGGACTGGTTGACGTGAAACGTTCGAAACAGTTTCTTTTTCATTCCCAAGAATGAATTTCACTGTGACAAAAACTATACCTTCATTGCTTATTGCTTCGGCTGATCACCTTTCACAAAAAAAATGCGGTCATTGCTTCCGATCAGAATATCAATCTGGATATCTCAACATGTTCAGAAGCACTGAGGATTTTTTTTTGGCAAACAGCAAGTTATTTCTTCTGTGAAGCGTTTCGGTCAAAAGAGAATTGTTCTCTGAAAACAATCTCCATTCAGCTACAAGTAATATTCTCTGAAAATATTCTTAAATGTAGTTCTGAATTGCTACGTTCAACAACGTAATGCAGACTTGGTTTGTGCAATTGCACAAAACTGGAGGAACTGCTATTTTCCGATGTTTTTACCAATAGTGTGTCCACTGTTTTGAATCTGAATACTTTTGCGCATATTTTGGTAAACTTTCAGAGAACATAAAGAGGTCTCATCTAATATCTGAATGTGTATCTCATGATGTACGGAAAAAGTTATTTAAGACAAACTTCAATTAATCGAGGAAAATTTATCTCAAGCCTTAAATTGAGAAAATTTGAAAATGTCGAAAAAGAAAACTATTCACGTCTGAATACTTCCTTTTTTTATTTCCTCGGTATGTGAGAAGAACATAGAATTTTAGATATTTTAGGTTGTACACTTTTGTTGATCTGTTCTAATGAAAACTTTTAAGCTTCCTGTAGAATTTAGACGTCTAGAAAGAAAGCTTGGCCGAGCTTTGATTTCTGTCGGTGAATTCAGCGGATGCGAAAATTTCATTAGCAATTTCATTTTTTTTCCATTGTGCTGGCTCTAGTCTAGTGGCAAAGCTCAAATAGTCGTTTAATTTGTAAAGAGAATTTGCGAATCTATCATATCGTACAGGAAGGCAGCGTTGTTCGGTATGAGGAACAGAGTTTGATTGAAAATTTGAGGGTGAAAGCTTTGAAAACAAGTTACTCTGATACATGTCGTTTTTTTTTCTAGCCAGACTTTTTTCTTCAAATCATCTAAGTTTTGATTTGCACAAAAAATATGCGATTTTGCATTCAAAACTGGTTCTCCTTATTCGCGAAATTAGCTCGATCATTAAAATGATTGCGTTATGGAAGCTTTAAATCTACAAAACTGTTAATTCTGTTTTTCCTTCGAAAAGAAAAAATTTGCTTTTGTGTCAAGTGAAATCAACTGTGACCTTTTGTAGAAAAAAAACAATTTAGCAATGGTTTCAATTGTCAAATCAACCTCTAAAAATTTTTTTTCAATCTTTGGAAAGCGTAAAAAGTTGACTCGGTGTTCTGTCCTCTTAAAAAGGTTTTTTATATCTTAAAAACAAAGTATTCCTTGAACTTTAATGCTCTGGGAAAAGAAGAGGATGCTTTGACGCATGATAAACCCCGAATGTGATGAGAAATTTGAATTTTCGTGATTTTTGGAAAAGTTTTGATTTCAAGTTGAGATTCAAGATTGGTACTGTCAAAAACTGCACTAGATATTTGATACACATAAAACCGACGAGGTTCTTTTCGATCAAGATCATTTCTGTGATTGGTGAGAGTTTTGAAAAGAAAATTGAAAAAGAATTAAATCTTTTTTTTTGAAATGCAGTTTGATTTGATGTTTTCGTAGGTCTATTGAACTGAGAGCTGAGAGAATGCTTGCTATATCATTCCAAAAGTGGATGTGTAATCATAATGGCCGCATAAGCGCTTCTATTGATTTCTTCTTATTTTGGGGTTCTGAGGTAAATTCTACAATATGCTGACGGTTTTCTTTTCAAAAAAATTTTCAAATACATTTGAACAGACTAAAATTGATACCAGGACGCATTTTGTCAGAGTATCTCAAATGTAGAAAGCGGTTTAATATAGTTGAAGTGGTGTTTTTCTTATAGCAAGAAATTCTTTTAACATAAGCAAGCTCTGATACGGACAAGATTCTGTTCAAAAATGGGAAAAAATTCCTAGCAATAAGACCATTGGAAACTATGGATGAAAAGTCCAGTTGTTCTTTTCCAGAAGTTCTGAAGAGTTTTCAGCTTAAGCAGGAAAATTTATCTCATTGTCAGGGAAAATTTCCTCTGAATCTCTATTTCATGTTGAATACAAGTATGATAACCAAATGAAACTTTTCTCTAAATCTAGAACAATAGGAAAGCACATATTTCTGAAAATCTGTATGAATCAACGAGGAAATTCTCTGAAGTGGTAGATTAATTTGGAGACTAACAAGATTTTGTGAGCTTGCTTTTCTTTTCTTTTGGAGGTGCGCAAATACGCCTTGTAAAGCAAAATTCTGATGCTGTCTGTATTCCTTTCTTTTTTTGTAAGATGACTGAGATGAAAAAAGTTTTGTTAGACATTGGCACTGCATCATTAAAACTTTGTGAGGAATAACCAGAACCGGACAAGTGGTGAAGTTTTGTTAGCCGCGCAAAATCCGAGTTTCTTGAACTTTCAACAAACTGAGTAAAAGTGGTAGTCCTGAGCAGAATTATGCGAGCAGAGTTGTTTACGTGCGTATTTGAGATACTTGGCTCTACCATATAACATTCTTGAAATATATTTTGAATTTTCAATGAAAGATATTTTGGTTTTCTTCACTACTCGTAGAAATTTCAAAAAAAATCAGCAACAGCCTGC